CATGTGTGTGTAACCCTTGCCAGAGCATGTTGTGAAGGCCAAGACCATAAACAGGGGTCAAAAAAGAACTTTACGGCGGATTCCAGGCCAGGGACCCTCAACCCAGCAGTTCTGGGCTTTCCTCTCCCAGCCTTCCCTGCTACTTCCCTGGACTGCTTCCTTCCACTCCTGGTTCCCCTCCTTGCTCTGGGTGTATCCACTCCAAACACGTCCCCCTCTGCCCAGGGAGGGACTGTCCTTTCCCAGCAGCAGCCCCGGTCTGTTGCCAGTTTCCTGGCTTTATGGGCCCCGCCTATTCCTGCCAAGCTGAGCCTGCTTGCCATCAATTCCCTGCTCCTCTACAGGGACACCATGTAGAGTTAATGGGTCTGCCTGGCCACCTTAGCCCCTTCCAGTCCTGTGTGGGGTGGACACCCCATCCCAGCGTGTCATCCGATTGCTGTTCCTTTCAAACACAGCAGAGAGCAGGGGCAGGTTCTAGACAATGGCCTGCTGGGAGATATTGCTGGACAGAAGGATTTGATCCTACTCACAACCCAGCTTGTGGTCTCTGCATTTAATTTCTGATAATCCCTCACCTCACTGTCACTGGTATCTCACCTTGGAAGCTAAAGCCTCTTAGTGGCTTTTTCCCTGTTATTTTAGGATCCTGGAGTGTCTGCTTTTCTCTGCTCCCTCCTCTCTCCATTCACTATCCGCTCCCACCCAGTCCCCAGTCTGGTGCCCCCCGTGGAGTTGCCTTACGGTATCAGAACTTCATCCAGGTGTCTGTCCACGTACTCTATCCTCCTCTCAACGATCCTGAGGGTGTGAGCCAAGGGGAGCTTCTCCAGGTGCATGCGGCAGCTGTGGAACAGAGAGAGTAGGTAGCTGAGTACCGGCCCTGCACTCAGGCCCTCTTTTACCCAGATGGGCGGCACTGAAAGGCTCCCTGTCCCATTCTCCACGGAGACAGCCTCCTTCCCTGCAATACCCAGGCCTTGGATGTTCTGGTTTTGGGTTAGCTGGATTGTTAGGTGACCCCTGTCTAGTGTGGAGAAGGGGAGAATGTATCCTGCTGGCAGCGTGTGTGTCATGTCCCTTCCACAGAAGCTATCAACATATAGGATAACAGCCTACTACAGCTACCAACTAATGCAGCTGCCTCTTTAGCTGTAAGGGGTGCTTTCTGCTGCAGAGCTGAAGGTCCAGGGTGCAAATCCTACTGGGAACCCTTGCTGGGGGACTGGAGGTGCAAGAGGAGCCATTACACAAGTGCTGCCAGATCCCTTTCACCCTAATCACCGTACCAGAAAGGCCAGCCTTCCTCCTGACCTCTCCACCTCACCTCCCTGGTGTGCACGGGGCTGCTCACATCAAACAAGTTTTCCCCCTCTTGGGAGGGGAGGATAGTCCACTCCAGTCGACACAATCTACCGCCGCCACCGCCCTCCCCCCGTCCCCTGCAGGTTAAATGAGCCGCATGATGCTAGAGTAAGGGAATGACCCACTGTACAATGCATGGGGGTGGATTAGAGATGGCAACTTCTGCTGGGTGGGAAAGAATTGCATGATTCTAAGGAGAATAGTTGCTTGCCTGGTCTATAGGTCGGGGCAGGGGAGGGATTACTAGGGCTACAGCCCCTGGGGGGTGGGGGGATGAATTGCATGACACGAGAGGAGGGGACTGACCCACTGCAGATTTATGGAGCCGGGCATTACTTACCATGCCTCTAGGCGTGCACAAGCCTCCTCCAAATCCTCCTCACAGCGTCCAAAACCTGCCAGAAGTGAGACATAAAGGAGACGTTGAGCTACTTGGGCACCCTCTGCTTCCTAGCGCACCAGAGCCCCAGATTTCAGGGGCCCCAGCCAGTGCCTCTGCAAGACTGTGGGCATGACTGTGCCTTCACAGGAAGACGGGAGGCAGGTGGGGGAACAGACCCTATTTCTCTGCTTTGCGTGGGGCCCGAGTTTGCCACCGCAGCTGTGGGGTCAGGGACTGCTTACCTTTCGGTTTCTTCCTTTTGTCCCTGTGCCTCGTCTTCCTCGGAGAAGCCTGCCACACACAGAGAAAGCAGCAGGGTTATAAGAGAACTCCTCAATAAAACAGGGATAACAATGAGCCAGAGGTGATTGCCATGTGGGGCCAGAGGGAAGTTTTTCCTTGTGGGAGAGTATTGCACTAGGAGGCATCATGGGTAGGCATTGTGCTTTTCTATGATGCAGCCAATATACAGCACACCGCACAACCCATAACAGGGGTCACTGGAATAATCCAGGGGTTGTAGAAACAGGGATTGCTGGTACCAGGAGCCTGCAGAGTTTATAAGCATTGCAGGAGAGAATAGAAGTGCTGTTGCTGGGTCTGGTTCTCTGCCCAGCACAGCAGCAGTCATTGGGATATGGTGCCTTGTAGATCCGACTTCTGCCACCACACCTGCCAGCCCCAATAGGGCTGATGAAGGTCTGCCAACTTCAGGGTTCAAACACTTAGCTACATACTCACTGCAGGTCTTATTTCACTCTCTGGAGGCACAACAAAGGGTCCCTGGTTGACCGGGGACTGTTCTGACAGTCCTAAGAATACCAAGCACCCTGAGTTCAGAGTGCATCACTCTGCTCAGCTCTGGGTCCTTTCGGTAGGACAAATATTCTCAACCCAGGCCCAGACAGAGTGTGCTTCTTTCTGGGAGCAAGGACTTCTCCCATGGCTCAAAATCTTCCTTTGAAGGAGCTTCTTACCCAGAACCAGCTGTCATCAGGGCCCATCCCTTTGGGGTGTTTAAGGTACTTTTCCTGCATTCCAAAGCACTTTAACCTCCCCTTCCGGAGCAGTGGGAAAGGGTGGCACACCCTGTCATGAGCTGAAATAGGAGGGTCCAAAATGATTAAAGGCCTGGAAAGACTCCTGTATCCAGAGAGAGACTGAAAAGACTGGGACTATTGGAGATATCCTATCTCCTAGAACTTTAAGGGACCCTGAAAGGTCATTGAGTCCAGCCCCCTGCCTTCACTAGCAGACCAAGTACTGATTTTGCCCCAAATGGCCCCCTCAAAGATTAAACTCACAACTCTGGGCTTAGCAGGCCAATGCTTAAACCACTGAGCTATCCCTCCCACCTATTTCAAGAGGGAACATGCTAGAGGTATCAAATCATTCATAGATTCATAGCATTTAAGGTTAGAAGGGACCATTAGATCATCTAGTCTGACCTACTGTATAACACAGGCCAGAAAATTTCATCCTGTATTGAGTCCAATAACTTGTGTTTGACTAAATGAATGGTTTAGAGAAGGCACTCGCTATTCCCCCTAGAGTACTGCAGGAACTCGGATATGAAATTGCAGAACTACTAACTGTGGTATTTAACCTATTGCTTAAATCAGCCTCTGTATCAGATGTCTGGAGGGTAGCTAATGTAATGCTGATTTTTTAAAAAGGTTCCAGAGGCGATCCTGGCAATTACAGGCCAGTGAGCCTAATTTCAGTACAAGGCAAATTGGTTGAAACTATAGTAAAGAACAGAATTATCAGATGCATCGATGAACACGATTTGTTGGGGAGGAGTCAACACTGGTTTTGAAAAGGGAAATCATGCCTCACCAATCTATTAGAATTCTTGGAGGGGGTTGTGAGGGGTTGGACCCCCATTCCGGGGTGCCACCTAATGTACTGGGGTCCCACTGAGCCCATCTGTTCCACCAGCCTGGGCTCCCTCACCCTGTCCTGCTGCACACACACTGGCAGGGGCACACCCAGCTGTAGAATCACACAGAGTCTGCGATCAGCTCTGTTTGGGAAGACTCAGCTCGGGGATCGCCCAGCACTCAGGTGCACACACCCTCTGGAGTGTAAACCCAAAATTATATTGTCTTGCGCTGTACAGAGATCTATACAACATAAGCTCATGACATTCTCTCCCTCCCTCAATGTGGAGGAAGATATGCATAGCTCCCCCCCGCCAGTTATGAATTGCACAAACCAAAATCAAGTTTATTAACTACAAAAGGTAAATTTCAAGAGATTATAAGGGATAGCAAACAGATCAAAGCAGATTACTGAGCAAATCAAACAAAACACGCAACCTAAGCTTAATACGCTAAATTAACTGGTTAATAGTAGAAAGCAACAGAGAGTCCTGTGGCACCTTTAAGACTAACAGAAGTATTGGGAGCATAAGCTGTCGTGGGTAAGAACCTCACTTCTTCTGATACTTGGTTAATAGTAGCACATTCTCACCCTAAATGTTGTTTTGTGCAGGTTGCAAAGTTTCTTGAAGGTAAACTGCACTGATTGCAGCTTAAATATCCAGGTATTCCTTTCACAGGCTAGATCTTTCCCACCTGGGCTCAGCCCCTGCCCTCCTCCCTCTCAGTTTAGTTCCTTTGTTTCTCCCAGTGTTTTCAGCAGTCTTCCCTTTTGGGCAGGGAGGTGGTGGAGAAGAAACTAGATTAACTCACTTAGAAGCCTTCAATAGGATTGGGATATGACAGGAAGGAATCCTTTGTCTCCCAGTTTGACCCCCACCCCCAACTCCCTCCTTGTAGAAAAATACCACCAGTCCAAAAGGATGTCCAGTACCAGGTAACATGATCACATGACACTGCAGTGTCA